CTTCCAACCTAAACCATTCCACGATCCTATGATACTGTATTAGCCAATACAAGTTAAGTTTCAGGTCAAGACCTGCAACGTCCACCCCCAAAGTTGTATTTTAACAAAAGTGGCAAACGCATCTCATTGTTTTGCCTTGTTACGTCAAGACTGTTTGACTTTGAACTGGGTGGGGATGGTTGAATTTCGCTAAAGCAAATTCCTTTACTGCAAAAAAAAGCAAGCCTTTAAAAATTAATTCCTTCTTATTCTCTCAATTTCTAACATTCACCTCTTACCTTGTTACTACCCCAATCTTCTCATATAAGACAGAACAGCATGGAGTTCGAACTACCACATATATATTAATTTAGTGGCCACTAAAAATGTGAACTTCAGAAGATGGTTTAAAAGATCAATGTACTAGGTGTCTGCTTTTTATGCTAATTTTAGATCTGCTACTTTTCTATTTACATCTAAGAGTCATATAATTTTCATTGTAGTTTATTGCAAGACCATTAAAAACCAATTACCTCTTGTATACACTTTTCATACAGTGTCATTCTATTATAGTGGTCTTGCAAATCAAAACAACTTGAACATTAGCCACTGATGGCCCTGTACAAAAAGAAAGGCTGCCTCTTTAATGCTGCTAACTTATTACTACCCTTCTTCCAATTACCTTTGTTACTGGGCTGCTTTTGAGGATTACAGTATTTTTCTGTAGACATGAAGATAACTGCCAATCCAATTTCTGCTTCGGGAATAGCCCTGAGATCCTTGCTGTAAATGTACAAGTAAATAAAGACACACACACAAAAAGAGAAAAGTTTCTCAGTACAGATTGAGAGATGAATAGGCAAACGGGCACAGACGTAACACAGCACAATGTTCCATTCCTCCCTTCACAAAACATCAGACTACACTACAATTTTTCGCAACACAGGAAGTCAGCATAATTATCCATCCTTATATCCATGTCCCATACATAACAACTTGAATGTTTCTGCTGCAGTAGCCACTGTCCAGTGCCAGTAATCTGGCCAATGCACCTCTCCATACCTGATTTCTGTGCATTTAACAAACTGTGTTCTACCTCTGATTCAAAACTGTGTGTGAATGGAAAAGTGACTTGAAAGATTTGAGCACTTCTTACTGGTCAGTTATGCACACACACTCCCCTTTCTTCTGTATTACATCCACGTGAAAACCTTAAGTACAGTCCCCTCTATTTAGCAGAAAAATTCAGAGTAACTAGGTGGTTTAGATATTAAGGCTGAGAGTTTGTTTTCCTTCATTGTTTTAATAAAATAGCATCATTACAATCCTAACATCTATAAAAATATGCAGTCTGCCCTCTCAAAGAAAAAAAAAATCTACCATCAAAACCTGATGTTTATCAAACAGAAACTGTTCTTCAGAAACACTGTATGCAAATAATTAGACAGCACTGAACCACATGACCTCACCTGTTTTCCATTAAATACATATATTTATTGAAAAATCATAGATTATCTGCTTCCAGTTCTTAGATATATTAACTTTTTTAAATAGAAGAAAAAACACGCTGCCTGTAATTTCAAACCAGCTTCTTTACAATAACTTTATGTAAAGTTGGATCCTTAAAAAAAACCCCAATCCCCCCAAAAAAACCCCAAACCACCCACCAAATCCTCATAGATCTGCCAAGTCCTTTCTTTCCTCCTTCAAGAAATATTAGTTACTATGCTAAATAATTAAAGCACTGAAGAAAACACCCTCTTTATAAGCATCCCACTTCTTAAATATGTATGCAAACACCCTAAGTAATTCTCTGCAGAAATTCTGAAATCACCATACCGCTGTACAAGAGAACAATGCTGCACCTTTGCAAGACAGCCAGAATGGAATCAGTCCAGTTTCTCACAGAGTCAGATCCTGGGATCTGAGAGTCTGTCATACCCACATCAACAACACAAACTTTAGGAGAAACCAGTAAAGACGTTTCTTTTCTACTCTCTGTCATCAATTTTGCTTGCCCTCCTCCAAGAATAACTGCTGGACCCAGTTTCTTGTGCTAAAAAGAGAACACAAATTAAAAAAAATTTAAAACACAGCTTAGAAGTATCAGCATAACAAACTATCAGCATGATGCTTATCACTGATGCAGTAATGGATATGTGATGTGTTCTGTTTCTCCCCCTATATTTCATCTTGCTTAGTCCATCATAGTGTAAGAAAACAAGTACTCAAAAAACCTTCTTTGCTGATGAACCCAGAATGACAGTGAATTCACAAAGAAGAGAATCTGTGCTTAACTACCGCTGCAGCGTTTTTACAATGTAAAGCCTAATTACCTGCTTGGCAGTTAGAAACACAAAAGTTTTTCCACTGAATATTTTTTTCCTTTCAGCACGCTCTGATAAATCCAGTTTTTCAGTGCCAATGGAAGGCTCGTCAACTGGAGGATAAAAGCTGCAAGAACAGAAAATTAGAGTTACAAAATTCAGATTTACCTATCAGTACTGACTCATAATCCTTTCTGGTTTAGAGTAAAGCTCTGGTGTTAAAATACTGTATTGCTCTCTTTAAACTATTTATATAAAAACTTTTTCAAAAGGTTGTTAAGAAGAAACAGAGCCTCCAATTTCTCATTATCTAAGCCAAGATCAAGACTTTTTACTTTAGTAATCGAGAGGACAACACCTTCAGGAATGTATTCAGCCTATCCACTTTGAGTGTCTGCTGCAAACATATCTACACTCACCACTAACAATACTGAGAAATGTGACTGCACTTTTCTGGAGGTGGGCTAGAGAACTAACTGATGCATCCTGCAGGTTCTCAATTGTTTTGTCCAATACAGGAAAAGTGACCAGGGCTTCAACTGGGGAACAGATTAGGCAGAAGTGAAATTCTATCCTGAAGCTGTCATTTTTGTCACAGCCTCTGATGTCAGCTCTAGCTGATGAGAGCATGCCCACATCGTAACATCCTCTAGAGTTAAGAGAAGCATCTAACTGATAATTTCAGGACAGTATTCACAGGATCTTTAAACCACGTATTCACTACTACAGAGTCCTGACAGAGCAAAGTGAAGGCACATGCTAGAAAAAACAGCCCAATAAATTACATGTATACATACATACATACACATGGATATGTTTTTAAATTATTTTTTCCTCATTTATGCAAACCACAGCACAAGAAACATACTCCATGAAATGCTGAAATACTTGTTTCTGAAAAAGCTGCATTTACTACATAGGTAATTCCACCACCTGTAAACATATAAACACTCTTCACACACTCCAAATATTCACGTACTTACAGCTGAACACAAAAAATAAGCATGTACATTTTCTACTGCATCCAAATATGTAATCCAGTTATGATTTAGACTGAAATGTACTATATAGTTACAGTTCATTTAAAATAATATTTGTTCTTTTCTGTCCTCTCCAATCAGTTCCTGAAGCTTTATGTACACAGTGGAAATTAACGAGCATAAAACCATCAGGTTTCAAAAAATAAGTATTTTATAAGCTTCAGCAACCTGTTCATAAAAATATTGTTCCAGTGAAGTTGAAATAGATATGATAAATTCCACTAATTTTACAAAATAGGGGAACCCAGATCTAGTTTGCAAGCAAGAAGACTTCTGATACTGAATCCCACAGAGACAGTTATTAACCCAAGATAAATACAGGGGACCAAGTTATTTTTAAAAAGCAAAGGGTGAGTAAAAATGGAGAATCAACCATTTCCATTACTTCAGAACAGGACTATAGTTTCTCTAGAAATACACTTCAAGTCTCCTCGTTTTTAATTTCAGTAGGTACTTTCAATTGACCATTCCCTCCTCAAAGAAACCTTTGCTTTTCCTTGGAAACTCTTACCCAACCCTGATGTAAACTCAAAGGCAAGTATTTTTCCATCTAAAGTGCTCCTTGTACTCTCTTCCCCCACTTATCTAGAAGACACCGTCTACAGTCTTGAATCTTTCAATAAATAGATTTTGATTCTTGATGAGTTTCTGTTACAGACTCAGTCAGTTTCCTACCTTTTCAAAGCCCTCCACTATTTACACTGGACTGCTGTAGTAAAACATGTTATTTCATAGCAGGCTGCACTTATGCTGCTATTAGTGAAATCTCCAGTTACTTTTCTTCCTTGCATAGGTTATCAGAGAGTACCAGTGGACTGAGGTAATATACTTCTCCATAAAAAGCCTCAAGTAAGAAGCCACGTTCATTATGTGAACTGCAGATTACAATTCTACGAAATCTCAGTATAAATGATAAGAAGTTTTAGTTTTTCTAACTTTAAGATTTTATTTCCCTAAGATTTTTTTTTTAATCAGCTCTACAGCAATAATAAAGATTTAAGTAACAGTGTCACCCTGTATTACCACATCAACGTGCCTTTCTTATTTCATATCCACATTACTTACTGTCTTGCCGATGTACTGGCTCAGGTCAGCTGTAGCTACAGTACAAACGTAAAGATCCCCTGTGAGAGTTAAAAGCATTTTTGGAAATTGAATGCAAACAGTTGCTAAGTAAATTTGCAGTATCTTCCCACAAGCTTCATCCTAAAAATATCACCTATTTAAGATACTGTAATTATTTTAAATAAGGATCTGCGTATTACACCAGCTGTCTCAGCTTGATGCTGAAATAATGGATATACTGCTAGTGTCAATCACACTTAATGAACTCAATTCCTCTGAGGGTCTCACAACTTAAAAAAAATGTTTAAAAAAAAAAAAAGGAAGGTCCCTTCCTTCTGTCAGGTGGCCTTTGCACCTCCTCCTTCAGCTCTGCCACCAGCTGAGCAGACCGTCCCCCTGGTCACCTCTCACGCAGGGTCTGCTCCCCTCGGGTACAAGTGGCAGGGTTGGCGCACCCACCCAGACCGAGGACGCGGCGCG